ATCAGTACCTACTTCAAGAACCTGTACTCTAATAAAATGGAAAACACAGAAGAAATGGACAGATTCCTAGATACATGTGAATTACCAAAGTTGAACGAAGAAGATATAAAAATTCTAAACATCCCAATTACAATCAGTGAAAATGAAAACGTAATTAAAAAGTTACAAACAAAGAAAAGCCCAGGTCATGATGGCTTCACTGCTGAATTCTACAAGACATTTAGAGAAGAACTACTGCCACTACTCTTTAAACACTTCAATGAAATCGTAAGAGCAGCAATACTTCCAAATTAATTCCTGGAAGCAAGTGTTACTTTGATTCCAAAACCAGGGAAAGACACAACCATAAAAGAACTACAGGCCAATCTCCCTAATGAACATACATGCAAAAATCCTCAACAAGATACTGGCAAACAGAATACAGAGGGTCATCAAAAGGATCATACACCCTGATGAAGTCGTATTTATTCCAGGGATGCAAGAATGGTTCAAAATTCGTAAATTAATAAATGTAATACACCATATTAACAGAGTCAAGGACAAAAAAAATACGATCACCTCAATAGATGCAGAAATAGCATTAGACAAAATCCAGCACCCATTCATGATAAAAACCCTACAGAAAACTGGAATAGAAGGTCTTTATCTCAACAGCCAACATCATACAAAAACTGAAAACCTTCACGCTAAAATCAGGAAGAAGACAAGGATGTCCACTATCACCACTCCTGTTCAATATAGTTCTGGAAACATTAGCCACAGCAATCAGACAAGAGAAATAAAAGGAATAAAGATAGGAAAGGAAGAAGTTAAACTGTCATTATTTGCTCATGATATGACACTCTACATAGAAGACCCAAAAAACTCTGCCAAAAGACTTCTAGATTTAATTGACATATTCAGTCGAGTAGCTGGATACAAGGTCAACACTCAAAAATCAATAGCCTTTTGTACAGAAAAAACAGACTTACTGAGAGAGAAATTAGGGAAACAATTCCTTTTACAATAGCATCCAAAAAAGTGAAATATCTCGGAATCAATCTAACGAAGGAAGCAAAAGACCTTTACATTGAAAACTACAGCACTCTAAAAAAAGACATTGAAGAAGATATAAGAAAATGGAAAGGTTGCTGGAAGAACCAATACAGTGAAAATGGCCATACTTCCAAAACTACTATATAGATTCAATGCAATCCCATTTGAAATCCCAACAGTATATTTCACAGAACTGGAAAAAACAATCCAAAAATTCATTTGGAACTGGAAGAGACCTAGAATAGCAAAAGCAATTCTAGGCAACAGAGACATGACAGGAGGTATCATAATCCCCAACTTGAAATTATACTACAAAGCCGCTGTGATAAAACAGCATGGTACTGGCAAAGAAACAGACTCGAGGATCAGTGGAATAGATTAGAAGATGCAGAAACAACTCCAGACATACTCAGCTACCTCATCTTTAACAAAGGAGCCAACCATCCTCACTGGAGGAAAGATAGCCTCTTTAATAAATGGTGTTGGAAAAACTGGATTTCAACTAGAAAAA